TCCAGCATCAGCTGGGACGAATCACATGCTATATTATTTTCGTGTTTGAAATGTAATTACCTTGAACATCATTGGAACGTGACGCGCAAGAAATGTATTTCCACCTCATAAAAGCAAATAAAACTGTAAGATAAAATTTTATTTTTATTTTTTTTATTTGCAAGGATACCAAAACGAAAAAGCTATAGTGAATTTTGTTGGACTGCTTTAATCATTGTAATGTGATTTTCTTCGATACAACAAAGATGGAGATTTTAGCCCGAAGAAAAATCTTCACAATAAGCTATGTCCGTAGTAATTATTTTAGCAAGAGCTTTCGGCCAATCCATTAGCCATTTTAAAGGAGTCATTCTGGCAATAATCACTACGGAGAGTTTTTACACTCACTTAGCGACGGAAAACTCTAAGAATATTAGAAAACCTAAATAGAAATTTTGCTTGTCCGTTACGTTCAATAAATGTGTATAAAATATTGCTACCGAAATATATCTATCTATCTCTCTCTCTCTCTCTCTCTCTCTCTCTCTATATATATATATATATATATATATACTGTACTGATGCGGCATTCACCCTGGGCGGATTGAGCCGGCTTCTTCCTGTTATGAGAAGAAAATTCTTGGGATAAATTACAGAAGTAGGGTACCCAGGCCCACTCGAATAACGTTCTTGCTTGCCGCGGGGTTCCCACAGACGCAGAGACAGGAACGACCAGAAGCCGCCGGTTACCGATGCAGACGCTCCTTGGATTTTCACCAGAGCCCTTGTTAGCCGGCGTGTGTGTCAGACCTGTCCGCCTTGGGTGGCCCTACCAGGAACAAAGTTCCGGCGGCATAGCATGACTCTGTTTTTATATATATATATATATATATATATATATATATATATATATATATATATATATATATATATATATGCAGAAGAGAATTAAGCATTCAACAAAAAGCGCGCCATTAGTAAAGAAGAAATAGAATCTGTCCCAGAGCTATTAGGACACCAACACACTTGCAGTATTTGTCGTAAAGTCACCCTTTCGGCGGCTGGTTTAGCCATCCACATGAATTCAAACCAGAGAGGTCAGACGTAAACTCCTGTAAATACTACCTTACCAGAAAGACCCGCAGGTTACTTGTGCGAGTTTTGTGACAAAGTTTGTAAGTCTATTGCGGGACTCGATTGTCACATGATTGTACACAGGAACAGGGAAGTTTCCAACATAGGCAACACACATAAGCTTTATGTTAGCCGCGTGTCTAAGTGAGGTTGTAAAAGTAAAGCTGGCCTTAAGAATCACTTAAGGGCCCATAGTAGAGTGTTAGCTCGGGTAAAAATGATGGAAATAATTAAATTCTGAATGAAAAACACGAAAAGCTACCAAAAGATGATCTTCTGTAAAAAAAAAAAAAAAAAAATGACAATCATCATTCATATATATATATATATATATATATATATATAATTCAATTCAACCCAATAATGCTGCTAAGATGCAAGCAGTTACTGGGAGAGGAAGATAATGAGAAGACTTTAGAATGAACCGCAAACCCAATCCTAAACAGGAAACAAAAAATAAGGCTGTACTGCTATTCAAAAGTCCGAGGAGGAGTGTGAACCGGACTATAGGCGAATTTATTTAACCCTACGCGTGTGTGTGTATGTGTGTGCGTGTTCAAATCATTTTTTTTTTTTTCATAGAATATCATGCGTGCCTCAGGTTGATATTTCTTTTCTCCCTCCAAGACAAGAGAGATTGAGAAAACAAAATGATGTTTCACTTTTGGTCTTTTTCGAAGTCTTTCTTGCCGTCTCGGATTAAAGTAAGCACAGCTACCAAGAAAAATTGACCTGACAGCCAAAGGATGATTTTAGTTTTTTTTTTTTTTTGTAGACATCGGTACGATAAAGAGTTTTCTTTTTAAACCCGTGATTACACCTAAATAATTTAATACAGGTTTAGATGTTTCGGTTTTATGATTGGCTGTCAGAATTTGTTTTTTCTAATCTTGGTGCATGATGCTAATATCAACATTTGCTGCAGACTAAGTAATTCAAACATGATAGTGACAATTTTGATTATGGTTCAAGAGACTATGTTTCACAAAAATGTACACGAACGTATTAACATAGCAAAGTTAATTCTATTGAATTTTCAAAGATATCTCAATGAAAGAATTCCTCATCGGCTTTCTATTTTTTCTTTCATTCACGACTAACTTTATATTTTACACCTGTCTATATTTTTGAGATGAGGTATTGTAACGTTTCGGTCGTTGTACGCCCCGGTCTTCTTCAGGTGATATGCTTTGATATTTCGAACCGAAGCCTTTATTTAGTCCACTAATGACAAAGATGAGGATAACAGTCCGAACAAAGTAAATAATTTAACTTTTAGTTAGCTTTTACATTTCGTAATGTCCCAGCTGTGGGTCAAATAGCAGTGTAAATCGCGCTATTTAGCCTTTGATTACTCTGAATGCAAAACCATGGAGAAGGCAGTAGAAAATTACTCTACTGTCTTCCCTGAGAAATCATGATACCCCAGATAGATTAGAGAAGGGAGCTATGAAGAGCTATCATTGACCACATCATAAAGGCATATTACATTAAAAAATATTATGATTGTAGAGAAAAACGATTTAGTTATCGTTGGCTAAATACTAGCTGTGGCATGTATATTTAAATCTTTTCGTAAATACAATTGTCCCTATTCTCCATAAGAATCTATGGAGGATATATTCCAAAACTCCCTCCAGTAGAACCCCCCATACATATATATATATATATATAGAGAGAGAGAGAGAGAGAGAGAGAGAAAGAGATAGGCAGCATATTTTCATTCAAGCGTGATTGGTTAAATAATTTGGGCGTATTATGTTTATTTATTTTAGTTTTAATCCCTTTCAAGCCTACGAATTAATTTCTTGGTGGATGTAGAAAATTGATTAAGAAAAATTCCAAAATTTTCTTTCAGATAATTTTTATTTTCCCAAGTACTTTCTGAGACCGCCTTCAGGGGGTTAAGATATCTGTGGATGTGTATACGGTAGGTCCGTAAATTAAAAATATTTTTCTATTGTTCATTTACAGCGTTTCAAATTCGAAATGTTATATGATATCTATCTATCTCTCGCTCGCTCTATCTCTAATATATATATATATATATATATATATATATATATATATATATATATATATATATAGATAGAGGGACACAGCAGTCCTTCTTTTATACCTGTTTCATTGAATACGGCAATCAAGGAATGTTTTGTTTTTTTTTGTTTTTTTCAGTTTTTCTAGCGTTCTTACAATTTTCTTTTATGAGTGTGTAGAAACTGTTCCGGACCATTTTCAAAGAGTGGCCGGGGTGAGGGGATTCTCGTTATCAATTGATGGTGTTCTTGTATCCTATACTGTGCCCTGTGGGTGTAGTAGTAATAAAAAGTTGTATAGGAAACAAAAACAAATTATATTAACACGAAAATTATCCAGTTCCACCTGCCCTTAAAAATGGTGACAGTATTAGCTGAAAGCGTTTGGAACAATAATCCCATCGAACAATTCTTACACACTTTTAGTCCTCATAAAAGAAAAACTGTAAGAACATTAAAAAAAAACTAAATAAAATCTGACGAAACATTCATTGTCATTTGTATTCAATGAAACGTATTTATATATATATATATATATAATAAATTAATTGATTTAAAATGTTTTTTTTTCGCTACACAGTTCCAACCATGTTTTACTGTTCTTTCTTTCTTTATATATATATATATATATATATATATATATATATATAGATAGATAGATAGATAGATAGATATTAAATATTTTTGGCATTTGAAGGAAATGAATAAAACACCAAAAGTAAAATGGAAAATTATAAACAAAACTAGAACTTGTAAAACTTGGGATGACCCATGCCCTTTATGCCTACATGAAAAACTACACATTATTAAGTTTCTAAATAATAAAAATCTATTAAACAATAGACATGAGTTAACGGTTTTTTTTGCCGACATCATCAAATTTTTGTATTGAATAATTAGCATAAAAACAAACAAACAATAAAATAATTTTTTAAATCCATAGTCCTAATAAATAGTTTAAATGCCCTACAAAAAAGATAACCCTTTATGAAGTCGTCAAAAAACAAATGTTACGGCAGTTTTTATATACACAAAACCCTTTCAGAAAAAAAATAAAATAAAAAAATAAATAAATCTCCATAGACACGTAAACCAGACTAGGCGAAATCATCTTCCGTTTTAAATTTAGACACCCCAACCTTACCCTGACTTGACATCTGTGAATGTAACTTTATACTGATACAAATTATTAACACCTTACACCCCTTCTTATTGAAACAATTGCTTTAGCCGTTACCATAGAAATTTTGATTTCAATAATGAATATGCTATTAAAACACGTAAATTTCAGAAATAAGTTATTCCAAAAAAATTTCGCTTCAAGATGGAACAGAGCTTACTTTAATTCAATTAATTATATTGAAGTTTTCGGCTCTTGTTTTGAAACATGAGAACTCTTATGTAGCGTGTTGGAATCATATTTTTAAATAAATAATTATATATATATATATATATATAGCTTCTATATTAGGGTATATATTAGTTCTTTGGGTACAAATCCCTGTTATATATATTTACACACTGTTTTTCCTAAGCATACTTACTTATGATAAAGTTTCGATATATTATTGATTGATTAATTCGTTTTCTACGGATTATCAAACTTTTGTGGTTATTTGAAGCCAGGATATATTTTTAGATTTTAAGAATATTTTTTTTTTTAGTTAATAATGGATTAGTGATACAAGACTTACTAATTAACTCATAGCTGAGTAGGTGAAAATGTGGATTTATACTTTTCCCAAGTGTATTTGCGCTTCAGTGAATATAACGAATCCAACTAAAATTAGAACTCGCTTCTCCAATTAACAATTCTGAGCCATTATCCATTAGACCACCCGCACATCGAAGCTTACAATATATGGTATTCCCAACCGGTCACCCATATAGGTACTGACCAGGCTCGATGTTGCTTAACTTCGGTGATCGTACGGGAACCGATCTTTCAACGTGTTATGGCCGTAAGGCAATCGACATGTTAGATGCAATAAGAGATGAATAACAGTAATAGAATAATTATAACAACATATTGTAATAATAATAATAATAATATGAGATAAGAGTTGTTCTTAACGTAGATTTTAGCAACTACTGTATATAGGTTCCTTTTTTCTCTCCTTTTACTAAATCGAAGACTTTCGTGAAGCACTTTACAAGCTCTCAATGACATATCGGGATTGCCAGGAATCTCTCCTCTTGTACTTTAAAACCGTTATTAAATAAAACTTATTGTTTATTCCTGAGACTGGCCTCAGTTAAGGACTCACCGTATGAATTCCTAACCGTTGCACAAAAAGTGATTAACAGTAATAACTAAAAGTAGAATAGAACAATTCTAACAATAAACTTTAAAAGTAATATTCCGGATAGAAGACTAGTGCTTACTGTACAACAAGAGATTAATAAAGTTATAAAACAGAACAATTATAACAATAGATAGTAATATAAAATATGTTCTTACCGTAGGTCTTAGCAACATCAGCGTATGTTTTATTTCTTTTTAAATTGAACATTTTCACTTAAGTGAAGCATTTTAGGGCTTCATTTTGACATCATACTCATCCCCTGTCTTTTGAACAGGTTTAGAGGTTTATCCCTTAATTCTTGTTTAGAATTGGGATACTGGTTCCTTCTAAAGTTTTTTCATTCTCTTTCACTCCCAGTACCACCTTGCATCTTAGTGGCATTATCACCTTGAGTGGGGTGAATTGATTAATTATATATATATATATATATATATATATAACCACTACTCTAAGACCAAAGTTTTGATGTTTCCTCAGATTTGGGGATGTGAGTCCAACTCAAGACTTTTCATCACTTCTTAGTAGTAATATTAAATTATACTGGACATAAATGCGGGTATCGGTTTTATATTGTTATTAAGTAACAAACTGTTCCCCCTAGAATTACTAAGTCTCAAATGCTAAAAAATCCTCAGCTTAACCAGGAAGAAATACAAAATAAAATTTTGATGTTTGGTCATTTGGACAGATTTTTGGGAAGAGGATTAGACCAGAAGTTTTCAGCAATCCCTTTGGATATTACATCCATCAAGAGGCTTTTATATCGAATCCATGATCAGATCATCCCTTGGTATGTTGTAATTCTGGTCTGGGATCGGTATATTACTTAATAAAAATATAAAACCGATCCCCCATTTTATATCCAATATAATTATATAAATTAAGTAATAAACTGATCCGCCCCCCCCCCCAGAATTACTATATACCACGTGATGTTGATCAGTTTATTACTTAATAGCAGTATAAAATCGATCCGCCATTTTATATCCAATATAATTTTATATAATATAAAATTATATTGGATATAAAATGAGGGATCGGTTTTATATTGTTATTAAGTAATCAGTTGACCAACAATATATCTGCAACGTTAATCGCTGTCGGTTCATATTGTTAAGTAATAAACTGATCACCCCTACCCCATAATTACTACACACCAAGGGATACTGAAACGTTTTTTGATCTGATCAAGAAGGGATTCCAAATAAAAGTGATGTTTGGTCTTATGGTCAGATTTTGGGAAGTGGGTCAGGGTGAAAACTTTTTCAGCATCTCCCTCAGATATGTCTCTTATTGTGGTCCCTAAAAACTGTCGGGGTATTAAGTGGAGTGAATGAAATGTTCTGAAAGAAACCAATAAAATACGTTTGTGACTCCTGTGAACTTCATGTGTGAGTAACGTTGTCTGTGTATGTACGCGTGTGCATATGGGGTGGGGAACTTTTGTTCTATATAAACTCATTTTTAACGTAAGCAATATTTGTCTTCATTTTATGAGTCGTTTTTCTTTTCTTTTTTGTTTCATTCTTATAAGAATAAAAAAAAAAGTTTGTTTCTTTTTTATTTCCTATTTCAATTTCTTTGCGTACTTCAGATTCTTTTTCTTTCTCTCTCTCTCTCTCTCTCTCTCTCTCTCTCCATATATATATATATATATATATATATATATATATATATATTGCAGTAAAAACGGCCAAACAGATGGCTTCTCAGAACGTAGGACTGGAACAGTCGGCCACTTCAATAAATGGATACATACATTGGCCAACGACATCCATTGTCCACTCCACTTCCTACGTGAAGCGAGTGGGTGGAGTAAAGTATGGCGACAATACCTCGTCCCCCTTGGGTCACTGGCTTGCTATTCCTCTTCCTTGCGTATATATGTCATGCTTGTTTTGAGATGTACGTCCGGCCATCCGTTATTTGATCCGTACACGCGTTCAGCCACGCACATGCGCGGACGCGCACGCACACACTCACACTTATATGCAACGTTTGTTTGAAGACCAGCGATTAATATATATATATATATATATATATATACGCACAACATCAATCGCTATCTTCTGTCTGATTCAAGTTCTTTAATTATCCTTTCTCCTCACTAACGTTTTCTCATTTTCTTTCACTCTCAGTTAACCATTGCGTCTTTGTGGCGTTATCGCCTTGCTTAAAGGTGAAATGAGATTTATATATAATGTCTCTGTATATGTAAACTGGTTTCAAATATAGTTCGGAATCCGACAGAATGATAGGATAACGTTTCCCGTTTGTTCTTTATCCTATGAATAATGAATAAATGTCTATAGTAAACATTTTACTAACGTATAATGTTCAATCTATTCAGCACTGAATTATGTGCATTGACACGAATATTGAAAAATAAATATTTATTGTGTAGAACAAAAGCTTTTTGATTTCCGTCATTAGGTTTTAATAAACTTATTGATGTACTTAAAACGCCCCACCCCCTTTCTTTATTGCTAAACACACCATTATGTATATGGCTGTAAAAAGAGGTGCTGAAAAGTTCTCAGCTCGACCAAGAAAAATATTCTGACTTGAAATTGGTCAGATTTTGATGTGATATAAATTGGTCTGACCGATAACTTTTCAGCACCCCTTATACATCACGCAATGTGAATGCAAAAGGTCTGTGTACGTGTGAACATATGTACATACACCAGGGACATAGTAGGAATTAATGGATTTATTTTTAATCCTGCATTTTAATTACTTCATACTTATTTGTTTGTACATGTGTACATTTCCACACAAATAGTGAACTAATAAAATTAAATGTTCAGACTTATCTTTGTGGTTCAGAGTTTCTTAGAAACTGTATCCTGTATCATCGAAACTCTGAATCTTGAAGATAAGTTTTAACATTTTATTTTATTTTTCTATTAATTCTCTATTTCTTAATATCGAGCAAAGTAATTACAATTAATTAATTGCCTTATTGTTATACTCCAGAAATATACTAGTCAACGGTTTTTTTTTGTTTTTTTTTTATTTATTTTTGCGAGAAACAATCTTTGTTATGATTATTCTGAATAATCACGTAAGTAAAAATATTTATTCACAAATCTGATTGTATGCACGTCTCACCGTCTTTCTATACATATCTGGGTAAATCCATTATTAAATCTAGACCATATATATATATATATATATATATATATATATATACATATTGTATATAATTTCTGTTTATGTCTGCGATTCGGAAATTTCCTTAGATCTGCGCCTGTGCTATCAACCTTGACTAGTGTATACGTGCGTTCATGCGTTCGGGTGTCCAGCTGACCCTTTTGGGGCCCCAAAGATGAGAGATAGTGGACAGAGGTGATGGTGTGAGGATATGAGAAGAAGAAGAAATGGTCGGAATGAACTGGACAAGGCTGGCCTGGCCTGGCTAGACTGGACACATCATACGAATTCTTCTCTTTTCACTGTGTCTCTCAGAAATCTTTCCCCGCCCGCAAACACACTCTGTTGACAGAGCTTTACTTTTTCTCTTTTTCCGGACACCTCTCCTGCCTACTTCTCCAACCTTATACTGTCCCTTGTCTCCGGTCTTGTCCACTCCATTGGGAGGTCGGCTCGGGAGTAGGGAACGAGAGTAAAGAGACGTGGAGAAAGGACAACTGAAAATAGGCGATTGACGGGGTGGAGGAGAAAAAGAGAGATTGAGAGCTAAGGGGAGGGAGCGGGACTGATTAAAGAGAGAGCGAGGGTGGGGAGAAGAGGTTGGGGCACAAAGGAGAATGGGGAAGGGCGGTAGAGTAAGTGTAATAGTTATATCGTCCGGCTTTGTACATATTCATTTCTATTCAAGGTAAAGATAACAAAACCAATGACTCACTCGTTGCAATGTCCTGATTGTGAGTGACTGTCCCCAGCTTTCGTTTAGGGTCTGGACACAGGGGCACATAAACCCCTTCCTCATTACCCCATCTGCTTCTAAGTTCTCTCTTTTCCATATACCCCCCATACGCCATTCCTTACATTCTATACCCAATACCCTACTACCACTACCATTAACACTTATCTATTCGAACAAACCATTGTATTGATATTGACTAATCTTTGTTTAGTGTGGCTCAAGGACGCACCTATCGTGCACTTAGTGAATAGTAACGGTCTATGAGACTAGTTTAACAGACATTGTTCCACAGCGATAATAATATTCGTAAGATTAACCATACGAATTCGCAGCATTTACTCATGAAATATGTAGAGATAACGACTTCGGTCATATTTTTGTTTATACCAAGAATAAAACGAAAAGTCGCCCCAAATAAATTCTTAGATTAAATTAAAACAAACCAAATGTATCACTAAGTAATGTCAGCAAACTTGGATCTTCATGCCCGGGGAGTGCCAAAAGGACTGTTTTTCCATTGATACCGCTATTATTTTAACTACCTTCACTCCTCGGCAATGTTTATTGTTTTAGGAAAGCGATGATTAGAATTGTAATAAAACCTAAACATATAAAAGTGAATATATAAATTTTCTTTGGTCTTGAAAATTTACAACAAAATAATAAAGACTATTTATTTATTGGATTGTTTATTTATTGTTTTTCGAAATGGTTGGCAAAACATTGGCTAATTGCCAATCCTTTTGAACTCCATAAAATAGTAAAAA